GACCTTGGAAGGCATCCTATTAATTAGGTATGATGCTGTTAAAACAGCATCCCCCCAAAAATATTTTGGTAAGTTCATATAAAACATCATGGCACGAGCGACTTCCAACAAATGTTTGTTTTTACGCTCGGCAATTCCATTTTGTTCGGGGGTATCAGTGCAAGAAGACTGATGTAAAATCCCTTTTTCTTCAAAAAATGTTCCAAGGATACTATTATAATACTCTGTTCCATTATCAGACCGCAAAATACTTGCTTTTGTTTGAAATTGATTTTCTATCATGTTATAGAAATTTTGAAAAATGGTTGCTACTTCTGACTTCTTATGCATTAAGTATACCCAACATAGACGAGTATGGTCGTCTATGAATGTTACAAACCACCTTTTTCCCGAAACAGTAGTAATCCTTGAGGGTCCCCAAACATCACTATGAAACAAATAAAATGGTTTTGATGGTAAATAAGGCCTTGGGACATAAGATTTTCGTTGACTTTTAGCAAGCAAACAACTTTCACATTTCAGTTTCAGGGGGTTCACATTCTTAAAAAGCAAAGGAAACAAATGTTTTAGATAAATAAAACTAGGATGGCCCAATCTGTAATGCCAAACCATTATTTGTTCAGAAGCAGATACAGAAATATTACTACTATACTCTTGAGCAATTTGAGCACTAGGTGAATTATCCTCAAGACAGTAAAGGCCATTGATCATTCTAGCTCTGCCAATCGTCATCCTCGAATTCTTGTCCTGAAAAGCACAATGAGATTCATCGAAAATAGCCAAACAATTAGAATCTTTTGTTAGTTTACTAACTGATAAAAGACTGCTGGCCAATTTTGGAACATGAAGAACAGATTTCAGGTTAACATTTTTTGAGATCTGTATTGAACCTTTTCCAGCAACAGGAGAGAAACCTCCATCTGCAACTTTGATCTTTTTATTTCCAGAACATGGTGTATATGATTGGAAGAGTTTAAAAGAATTTGTCATATGGTCTGAGGCTCCTGAGTCTATGATCCAAGGAGAAGGAAAGGTTGAGGAATTAGACAAAAAAGAATTGAATAGAGCCTTAGATCCAATACCTGTATGAGCCATAGAAGCATTAGGAAAGTCAGATGAGGTAGAACTGGATTTCAGTAGCATAAGAAGATGCTCCATTTGTTCTTTGGTGAAAGGGCCAGCATCAGCTTCATTAGCAGTAGGAACTCCTCGTCCAGACTTCTCTCCTCTGTTTTTCCAATTTGGAGGTTTTCCGTGCAGTTTCCAACATGTGTCACGAGTGTGACGAGGCTTATTACAATAGTCACACCAGACCTGTGATTTTTTACTGGATTTTTCTCCTGTTTTACGCGGATAAGTTGATGTTTTAAAGGATGAGGCAACCTCTAAAGCCGATCCTTCAACAGCAATTCCAGGACCCTTCTTTCCCAGCATTACATTTCTTCTGCTTTCCTCCCTTCTAACCTCTGAGAACACCTCACCAATTGAAGGAAGAGGCTGTCTCCCAATAATTCTCCCTCTAACTTCATCAAATTCAACGTTTAGCCCTGCCAGAAATTTAAAGATTCGGCTGTCTTCAGCAGTTTTCTTATGATGCTGAAAATCCTCTGTTGATTTCCACTCATAGCTGTTGAAGAGATCCAAATCCTGCCATATTCGCTTAAGCGAATTGAAATATTTTGTGACAGTGTCTTCCCCTTGACGTAGATCTCCAATTTTGAGAGTCAACTCGAAAATTCGGGACTGATTTCCCAAATCAGAGTACATCTGATTGATATTTTCCCATAACTCTTGTGCCGTTGAATAGCACATGTAGTTAGAACTGATATCTTCCTCCATTGAGTTTACAAGCCATGTCATAACCATGGAGTTTTCCGCGTCCCATGTTGCGTAAGCAGGATCCGTGCATATTGGAGCCTTTGTTTCACCAGTTAAATACCCCATCTTGCCACGACCTCTGATATACATCCGGACTGCTTGTGACCATCGGAGAAAATTATCTCCATTCAGCCGAATGGTAGTAATCTGAATTGAGTGAGAATCAACCCCAGTTTTCAAGGATTCGATTCTGTTTTTTGATGAAGAGGCAGTAGTTTGAGGATTAATGGTAGAGTCTGATGATGTTTCAGACATGATGAAGGGACAGGGGACAATGTGAAAAAACAACTAGGAGGAAAAATCAGGCAAACCTAGCTCTGATGCCAACTCGAAAATAATGAATTAGGGGAATACTTTATTTCATTGATTCAAAAGAATATATACAACAGGTTTCAGCCTATATTAGGAAACTATACACAATTATATCCTTAATCCTAGGAATAAGATTTTACCCCAATTTAGCTCCTCTAATCTCTCCTAATTTACACGGTTTTATTACTCAATATTCTACTTCCCAAAAACACAGATTTTCCCACACTCAATATTCTACTTCCCAAAAATACAGATTTTTCCACATATTCCAACGTTGGTTCAACTTAGTTTTTACATGAAGTATCTTGCACTTGTGATCTGTCAATTTGTAGTTCTGAATTGTGGAGATGACTTCTAAAATGATTTCTACTTATGTTGTAATGATGGCTTAACATTTCCACTTACAGATACCTCCAAATATATTAAGAGAATGCAGAAGTCTTCAAAATATTTCTCTCCATAATAATCCGATTTCGATGGACCAATTTCAACAGGTGAAACCTAATTCTCTTCTACATTGTTCATAAGTTTTTCAAAATTCCGTTAGCATTGCTCTTCTTTTTCTAAAAGAAATTCAACTTGAAATTTCTCTCAGATGGAAGGATTCCAAGAATTTGAAGTTCGGAGGAAAAAGAAATTTGATAAGCAAATAGATTCAAATGTAATGATTGGTTCCAAAGGGCTTGATGAGGGTGTTGACCTCTGACGTGGGTTGTTAAGCTTGATGTTTATGTTTTGTCCTGGTATGACGCTCCAGGTATGTGCCTTACTATTGACAGTCAGGGTATCCTTTGCTATTTTCACTTTTCTGTTTACAGATCAAGTACATGCTAAACTGTGATACAGTAGCTTAGTTGATTTCTTGAGCCTCTTTTCTCTCCAATGCAACCGCAAAAGATGTAGCAAATAGCTTTTGCAGACCTTAGGCGTCTCTTAGAATGTTGTTTTTGACTACCCACACTGTCTGTTATATTCTGTTATGAATAGTTTGCTTTTGTTCTATGATACACTCAACTCTGATAATCTTTAATACTGCATGGAACTCATGAAGAAGTTCATGTGTTGATGTTTGTGTAATACACGTGTTAATGCTGTGCCACAAATAATAGGTTTCTGAAAATGCAGGGGATACTTATTTTCTGAAAAAAAATGGGAAATGAGCATGGACGTAAGCTTCCTATTGCAGTAGGGGGTTTCATGACAGAATATGATTCCAATATGTTTTACCGTTTGTTCGTCTCTAACCGAAGTCTGCCAACTAATCAATTTGTTGAAATACTGGCACACAATAAACTTTCTATTGCAGTAGGGGGTTTCATGACACAATATGATTCCAATATGTTTTACTGTTCATCTCTAACCGAAGTCTACGAGCTAATCAATTTGCTGGAACACTGGCGCACAATAAACTTTTAAAGTATCTTATCTGTTGTCTTCTAGGCTCTAGCTGCTTTGATGTCGTTATGTTGCTAGTTCTGATGTAATTTTTGTTTTCTGCAGTTGAGTGAGGCTCTATGTGTACAGAAGTTATTCAAATTTGGAAAAGGAAGATGGTTGTCACGTTGTGCGTTCTCTTGTCCTCCCTGCAGCTTTTTGGTAGACCGGCCATTATCCAGAGCAGAATTTGATTAAATGATGCATGGTTAGGCATGATACCTGTGAATGCTATATCCTTTGTCACTAGCTGTGTATCTCTATTGGGTCTTGTATAGTATAAATCTTAGTAGCGTCTGCAGCAGATGAATATTCAAAATAGTGAGACTTCGAATTTTTTGATTCCGACTTCTGAATGGCTAATAGAATTCAACATTTGTTTTTTCACTTTGGTATTTTCTGCTTGCTGATTCTTTGTTTCTCCAATTTGGAGAATGGACTTTTCATTGTGGATAACGGTTATAAATGGCTGGCCTTCACAACCTAGAGTCAAAGTCCAATTTTGTAACAAACATGATGTATAGTTTCTTTGTTCAAAAAGATTTTCTTCTTAACCATACTAGCACTTTACCTTGTTCAAGCCTTAGCTGCTTTCCAAAAGTATGATAATTAATTTTTAAATAAATGCTAGCAATTTACTTGCTGATGAAATTCATGTATAAGAGACTCCTTATCAATAATTTGCCAAATTGCAAAATGAGGTAGCTCATAGATTGGCAAGATATGCACGAGAGATTCCTGAGGTAGCAAATGAGGATTCTCTTCAACTTTCCTATACTACCTTTGGGACACAAGTCTCTGTTATTTCACTTAATCCTTCCTCAAATATTCCAAAATTTAAACCAATCTGAAGTTAAACTTTCCTATACTCCATCCATACCATGAAACCAATCTGAAGTTAAACTGTTAAACCAACATATAAAAACAGCTGTAAGCAAAACCAAGCAGTCTTTTCAGTTTTCATTAGTTGAACCATTGGCCTGTAGCACAGAATAGTTATTCCCTGTAAACACAGTGATAACATTGAATGAAAAACAAAACAATTACTTGATCAATCATAGAACAAGTACTTTCTCAGGCAACAAACAATTGGCTGGCAAAACTACCAAATCACGCTGGCAGTTTTCAAAAACTTGAAAAAAGTACCACGACAACCAAAAACTATTCTGTAAAAACTATTTGAAGAAAGTTTAAAAACACACCACTCTGCAGCAAGTTTAAAACATAGAACAAGTTTCATGTCACTATCAGAGTATACTCAATGACAAAGTGCAGCAAGTTTCAAAAGCTACCAGAAGAAAGGTCGCTAGAGCTCCCAAACAAAAGGCGAAAGTATCAACAACTGATGAGAGATACAGCAGCGAAAGGTCTTTTGGCTATTGCTTGTGCTCAACATAATTGAAGTTTGAAAATGCATTTGATTCCTTCGGCTGGTGAATAACATTCTCAAAGATATCATTCAGCATTTTGTTGTCAAGCATTCCTTCCAAGATTTTATCCTTGAAAACAGATGAGATTCTAGACTTGTTCCTTTGCCTGTCTTGAGAAGAAAATACCAAGTCAGACAAGCGATCTTTGTTAGTCTGTTGAGCATACTTTTCAACCTCCAAGGTCCCAGAGGTTATCAAATGATAAACATAGACAGACTTCTTTTGGCCAAGTCTATATGCTCTGCTTATTGCTTGCCTTTCAACTGCAGGATTCCAGAAAACGTCTAACAAAACAACTCTTGAAGCCCCACTTAGATTTATTCCTTCAGAACAAGCTTTTGTGGACGCAAAAAGAACTTTCACCTTACTGGAGGGATCATTCAGAGAACTAATTGATGACTGGCGATTCTTCTCGTCACGTTTTCCATCCATATACAGCACTTCTATGCCTTCCCTCCACTTCAACTGATCTATCAACTGCTGCATTATGAATCTCAAAGGGTGAATAAATACGCTGAAAACTAAAACCTTCTCATGCGATGCATCACATAATCGGATGAGCTCAATGGCAAATTTCGTCTTTACTCCAGCATAAGGACTACAATCAAGTACCCCTAGTCTGTCTTTGTCAGCAGAGAAGCGTTTACTGAAAGCAGCCAATGAGGGGTGGACAGAGATGAGTGACACCAAATGTACTTGGTCAAACCTGCTCCAATCATCCGATATAAGCTGAAGAATGCCCTTCTGCTCATCAGTTGGCCGCAAAATAACAAGTGTGTCCTTCAGACCAGGGAGACTCTCCTCTAGTATAGAACCTTTGTGTACATGTACAAAAGGATCTATCATAGCTTTGAGCTCCTCTACTGCATTGTCAGAGTTGTTATCAATGGCATTGGTCAAGGAAACCCATCTCTCTTTCTCCACATTGCTCTTCCGCTGCCATCTTCTGCTGCAACGCTCAGAGGTCACTGAACCAGAAAGCTTTGGGTTTACCAGGCAAAGAGTATTATACAACTCTTCGAAGTTATTCTGAAAAGGAGTTCCAGAGAGGATTATCTTTCTTTTTGTCTTAACTCTTGTCAAAACCTTCCAGACAAGACTCTGTTGATTGCGAGGCGTGTGCCCTTCGTCAAGAACCACAAGACCAGGCAGTTGAAGAAAGATTTCCTTAAGTTTTTCATCACTTCCTTTTCCCTTCCGTCCACTAGCAATCTGCTCAAACAACTTGTGGCTGATTCCTAGAACACTTTCTTCCTTTGTCCACGAGTACAGCTTTGTCATTCGGCTTCCTACTCTCCGAAGAAAATTTGCATCGGTTTTGAGTTCGTTTCCCGACAAATCCTTGCTATTAAAGTTATGAAAAGGAATTCTTTATCCCCATTTTCGGAACTCATTTTCCCAGGTAAGCAGCATGCTTGTAGGAGCTATAATCACGGGTCGGCACATTGGATACATTTTCAACAATGACAGAATAAAAACAATTGTTAGGCAGGTCTTCCCGGTGCCAGGGGCATGTGATATTATGGCTCCTCTTCCATCATCAGAAAGTTCAGTTTTCAGCTTCTCGATGTTGGTTTCTCCTACTATGTTTTTCCACAAGAAGACAAATCCATCCAGCTGATGACTATACATTGACATCCTAATGTCATCTGGAATAAGATCCAGTACAAAGCCTTCAGCATCAATGGGGGTGTAATAGTTTCCAGAGGCTGAGTCATCAAGATGAAGCTCATGAATACCAAAGTAATCTCGGCTAAGGTCAACCCAATCCCGTCTTCGTGGAGTCTCTTTTTTCTGCAGGCAATAGCAATTTAGATAAAATTTAAAAATAACTGGGAATGCAAGTAACAATATGAAGTTCTGGTAATATCGTAAAGGTCCCATTTCACTACACAACTCAGCCCAGATTATTAAGCTCTTTGCTAGTAAAAATGATGCTAAGGTGGTCTCTACCATTAAGTATGGTGCTTGTTTTTGGTTCTATGATAGGAAATTAAGAGGTGGTTGTTTTTGGTTCTCTGATAGGATATTAAAAGGTGCTGCTGCTTTAACACATGATACTCCTTATTTTCTGCCTGTTGTAGATTTTGACAATCAGGTAGATTAGAAACCTGATTCTTCAGGAATCTACACTACTAGATTAGCCATGAAAAAGTTTCAATCTCAGTGTAATAGTTATCCAGGTATATAGTTGCCTGTGGAAAGAAATATATGCTTAGAACATTCCTATATCTTAAGGTTGGCATTTGTGTGTGGAGATCAAGTACTAAAGACAGGCTACTCTCTCAGGGTATGCCTGTTGAACATGGTTTTGTTCCTAATGAATCACTGAGCATATACTCTTGTCCGTACTCTCTAAGAACTAGCTAGATATGCAGTTGCTAAGACTTGGTCCATTGAATTGTTATGGGTTGAACAACACTGTGCTGGAAAGTCATTTCGTAGAAATGTGTGCAGGGTGAGATTTGCTGTTGCAGTTTATCAGCTCTGGGGAAGTGGAAACTGTAAAGTTATCCAAAAGTCTGTTGTATCCAGTTTACTATTTTTGCAAGCAAATCTTGCAGGACCTTTGTGGTATGGTTAGTGGTTGGCTTGGTTCTTCAGTTTAGTGTGCCTAGAGTTAGGCATTTCTCCTAAAGTTTTAGAGTGAGTTCTAGAATAGCATAGTGTCTGTTATGCACTTAGAACAGAAATTCTTGTTTCTTTGTCTTTGTCAGGGTGTTCCCCCATCTTACATGCTTACGCTTCTGTTTTGAGCCAATAAAGCAAGGAGCTTAGTGAAAAAAATGAAGTTCATTTATTTAAGTTCATCTGTAAGGAGCATAAAAGAAGGGAATTCAAGTAAGATAAAATTGCAAATGGACTAGTGGGAATACATACCAGAGTAGGAAAAATGTCCTTCATCGCCTTATGCACAATTTGACAACATCTGCATATGATTCCAATTGGTTCTTCAAGAATCAGCTGATGTTTCCCTGAGAGACATTATTCTGCTTGGCACTTGGCCGTTGCAGTGACATGATGAGCGACATCCTGATGATCAACACCACAAGAACACAAAATCTTCTCACATGAGTTACAATTTGGACAATCGGATAATTAAAATGAGTAAAACAGGCACGATAAGAAGAAAACTCAAACAATGTTCTTGTGCTCAGAATGAACAGAAATTAAAAATCCAAAAAGGTGTGGAAACTAAAAACATCATTGTAAATTGACAGCAAAGCCAGCAAAAAATATCAATAACATTATTTGGACGATGCAAATCTAAGCCAAATGGTAAATTTGACCAGAAGGGTGCAAAACTTAGGAGGTTTCTTATGACACAAATAGCACACTGAAAATACTTTTATGTCTTTCTGTCTAATGACTGAGATCTCGCAAAGAACTAGATGGGAGTATCTGTATGTGATTGTGAATACAACGAAATTTCTAGAACAAATTTACGTAATACAACGAGGACGAAAAAGAAATCAAACAATCCAAAATATTGTAAAGTTTGGAAATTGAAAACATGTCTTACAATCCAAATATTGTAAAGTTATTGTACAAGAGCAGAGGAAATTGCCTAATTCCACGTTATCAAAATTTTCATGCATGGACTAGTTAAAATATCAGAGTAAGACTAAATTTCATTAACTCCTTTTTCTTACAGCAGGACATGGATGAGAAAACTTTCTTTGTCATTAAAACTGATATCTAGCTTAAATATTTCTAAAAGTGGTTCAAAAGGAGAACAGCAAGCTTTTCCCGTGGGTTGCATAAATAACTTAAAATGAATAATAGAATCATCCCATCACCATCAGTAACAAACATACAATGTTAGGACCAACTAAATAGCATGCACAATGGATCATGAAACAGCAACTTGTATTTGTATTCTTAAAACTACATAAGAAAGCATACTGTCAACAAAACTATAACTATTTGAAAAACTACATGATCTTGTTAACCATAGATTATTAGATAATAACTGAGGAAGAAACAAATATTAGATGACCAACATGAGATGATACCTACTGCATGTTTCCAAATCATTTCAAAGTTCTAAGGCATCAACTTCAGTATTCCAGGGCAGAAGTCAAAACATTAGCAGATTAACTAAAATCTCCAAACTCAGCTGACAGACAAAGAATGGATCCAACAGAAGGAATAAGGCAGCAGCATAATAATGAGCTATCTTTCAAATCATTATCGGCAGTAACGTATTGAAGAAACAATCATTCGTTTCTCTAGGATTAGTTAAACTGTTCAACCTGCATGGAAACTATGTAGATACTTATGTAACTCCAAATCCAAAAATCACACTGAAGTAATCAGAGAATGTCAAATCTCTCAAAATTAACAAAGCACCATTACCTTGGATGATTCAGTAAAGTCAGAATCTGGTAATGTGAGGCACATTTCCATCTCAGTAAAAAGATCATCAATTTCTTTCTGCCAGTCTTCTTTCTTGGGTGGGGTTAAATCCTCGTCATCAAATCTGAATTTTAATGGCAGTGTATGAGTAGGACCATTGTCTTCAAAAGAAAATGGATTTTTGTTTGTCTGCTCATCATCCTTCAGCATGGACCCCAGAAGAATATTCATGTAATCCACATCTCTTTCTCTTCTCTTTGAGGGTTTAGATATCCTACTGCTTTCCTTTTTCTTCTTTGGCATCTGATCTGATGAATCAGAATCCTCACCTGAAGAATCAGAACTTTCACTCTCAGAAACATGAAGACAGCACTTCCTTGATGTTCCGAGTCCTGGTTCGTGTTCTCTGGACTTTGGACTTGGTAGTTGAATGAAGCCATCATCTTTTCCTATCCCTCCTTCAAGGTTATCCTCACTACAATAACCCCAATGGTTTGATTGTGTACCAGAGCTCCTTGATTCTTCCACACTACAGGCATTATCAGAATCATCAGCATCCTCTTCAGAGCTAGAGGATTTTGAGTTGAGATCATCAAGATTTTCAATTAGAAGACCCTTTTCCTTGTCCTGAGCTCGATTCCCTGAAGGTTCACTCTCCATGGTCATTCTTTCATTTGTTGCATTTCCATCACTTCTAACCCTCTTTCTTCTTCTACATGGAAACTGCTTCCTACCCTTGACATAACTACATCTCAAGTTTGGAGGGACATCTTCTTCAGTTACAAGCACGACATCACTTCCACTTCCCCGATCACTATTCTTACCCTTGTAAATAGTGTGTCTCTTCCTCATCCTATCTAATTCCTTCAATTTCACTTCTTCCACCACTTCCTCTTCCCCCAAAATCCTAACATCACTTCCACTACTCTCATCATCATTGAAAATTTTTTTAGCAGTTCCCTTCCTCTTTCTATTGAACATCTTCCGGTTTACATTTTTCCCCTCTTGCTCTTCATCACTGCTACTGCTGCTAATTCTAACCATTTCTTCGACATTTCTTGTGACTTTTCCTGACTCCAATTCTTCCCTCACCACTTCCTCTTCCCCCAAAATCCTAACATCACTTCCACTACTCACATCATCATTGAAAATCTTTTTAGCAGTTCCCTTCGTCTTTCTATTGAACATCTTCCAGTTTACATTTTCCCCCTCTTGCTCTTCATCACTGCTACTGCTGCTATTCTTCGACATTTCTTGTGACTTTTCGTGACTCCAATTCTTCCCTCTTTTTTCCCTCAGTAGCGTTCATTTCATGAGAGCCATGGGCTCTCTCACTTTTCCCTTTCTTCTCCTGCTTCTTCTCATTGTATTCACTAGTCATATGCTTTATTTGAGCCCTTGTCCACTTCGCTACAGTGCTTCTCTTTTCTTCCATGTTACCTAAAAATAAAGAAAGCAAAGATTATAAACCCAAATAGCAACACATAGAAAATCAGAAACTACCATAGCTTGGTAAAAGTGACAATGATCATTTAAACCAATGATAGACCTGCAGACTTCCAAGAAAAAGAAACAAATTATGCAGAAGCTTAGCTATAGCTGCACTATAAACTTCAACTCTAGCTAAATAGCCCTTACCATCAGGGTCTAGGAACATTATTCTAAAAGGTGCAAGGGACAAGTCATCTGCACAAACAACAAAAATAAGAGAAATTCCTTGCCTTCTAGCACAGCAAAACCTCATCCTAACTCCAGCTTATACCAGAAAACTTTGATTGTCAACCATGAAACCAAATTTTTCACCCCACAAAGCATTGAATTCCATACAAACACACAGTCATACACAGTAACAATACTTTAAAGATCAAAGATACTATTTTGGAGATAAGAAAAACAAAGCTTTAATGCCTTCCTAAATTAAAGTAGGTTGTCCATTTTTAATGATCCTCTTCATAAACTTACCATTACACCTATGCATAACTGGTTAGTTCAATCATCTACTAGCTAAAAAATCTTAGAACAGATTTGCCAACATATAAAGATAAAAGATAAAATGTCTTAGACCCAAAGGAGAAACATGCTCTCAACATTCAGTACAGCTTCATAGTGACTTGTGCATCATGGAAGTAATGTGGAAATCGATCTTTTCTGGGGAACTAAATGTCTTTTTCAGAACTAGAGTACTTCACAAGCAAGCATTTGATCTGAAAGCGAAACCCCATGACTAAAATGTTAACCAAGATTTATATTGCTCTTTTCAATGATAGCCCATTAGATCTTGATAAGATCAATCTACTTGCCCTAATGAATTTCCATGGCAGATGAAGCCAATAACAAACTAGCATTTGGAAGCAATACATGGCCCTTTTACATCTACTAGCTCAACAATCTTAGACCAGATTCTCAAGAAATAAAGATGAAAAATGACAAACATATCCTACATATCCTACATTACTGAGTATTGACGTACCGTATTTCTGATAAGACAAGAAAAAAGCCTGAACACAAGCTTTTTGAGCACTAGAAAATTAAGCAACATCCTCCATGTTAACCAAGTAGTTAAAGTACCTGCCCCAAGAGCCAAGAAAACATTCAGCAACTTTTAATGCGTGCCTTTTAAACTGCAAAGTATTCAAAATAAAATGCGTAACAAATTCTTTATTGTTTTAATAACAAAATAAAGGGTTCACTGCCACTAACACAGAAGCTTTCTGAGATCACATGGAAGCAGACTAGCTATGCATTTAGTCCTCTACAGATTTTAGGAATCAAAACCACCAAACGAAGAAAATCTTTCTCAAAGAAGATAGAAAAAAAGTATTATAGAAACAAAGACGACAGTAAACAAAAATCCCATAAAATCATCTAGTAAATAATGGCAATATAAATGCAAAATAGGAGAGAACATAGAAAAGTCTCTTGATTCCAAAAAAGGACATGCTTATAAAAGTACACACTATAAAGGGCATGTGACATGGAGATGGTATCCCTTATTTCTGACGAGCAACACACATATTTATGGAAACAAGTACCAAAAGTATGATTTTCTCAGCCAAGTAGTACTGTACATACACAATTGTGAGCAGAACAAGTTGAAAGCAACTTTTTGCAGATATGATCCAGCATTATGATGAAAAACTTGTGTTCCACCTTACTAATAGTTTTTTAAAAAAATCTACAACTGTCCATGTCAAAACATCATTTAATGTCTCCATAGAATAGCCTTCAAACAAAAGAACTAATTGAAATAAATTTCTTAAAACCCAAACATTCCAAGAGATTTGAAAAGTCCCCTTGTGAAACAAATAAATGGCATGGAACAAGTTTTCTTTGGTCATCATCTTTGGCCTTGTTTACATAATGCTGCTTGGTACTAGAAATCATCTATCTACCAAGTTGCCATTGTCTCCTTTCCTCATTTCCTGAATTGCTTTTTCATTCATAAACATTGATCTTCATCACAAAGTCCAAATTTTATCATAAGATTTGAGATTCTTCAATCTTCCACATATGACTGCCTCATTCTAAAAATTTGTTGACCTTGTCCTAGTAGTACTATTCATGGTGAATTCTTATTTTCTTTATATATAGTTTTCTCTTAAGGGGTTCTCTTCTTTTATTTGTTTTCCTCTTTCTTGTTTCTTTCCTGCTTAACTTTATTCACTTCATTGCTGAAGTGGAATATTGGAGGGAAAGGATTTGATTTTCATCCGTATTGTTTAGATTTGGAGTTATCCCATATTGCATTTGCAAATGATTTGTTTCTATATTAGCAGTATTGAGCATTCTTTTTGTTTGGTCAGGGACACGATTGCTGAATTTGGAAGTTTCTCTGGTTTGAAGCCTAATCTTCATAAGAGTTGTGTGTCTGTAGCTGGTGATAGCGATGAAGTGGGACAGCAACTGTGCAACATATTGGAGATGCCAAAGGGTGAACTACCAGTTAAATACTTAGGTCCACCTCTTAGTTCAAGAAAACTCTTCTACAAGGACTGCCAACCTGTTTTTATGAAGATTTAGTAGAGGGTACAATGTTGGGCTGTGACAGCCCCACCTCCCCCTAAGGCGAACAAAAGGGTTCGGCGGACCGCCTGCCCAGCTCTCGCCGGGACTCAGTCGTTCACTTCAACCCTCAAACAAAACCAGAATAAATCCACAAGAATAAATATAACGACGATCCAAAACTTAAAGCAAAACTTATGTACATTACTATCTCAAAAGGGAGTACAAACATCGAATATACAAAGGTTCTCAATTCACCACACATCCAACCCGTGCCAAGCACTAGGGCGAGAACCATTACAAAATCAAAGAACTAAACTAGGCTAGTCTATACAGAGCTCTCATCCCGCTCGCCGTCCCCTGTTAAGGAAAACAAAACTAAAGGAATGAGTTAAAAGCTCAGCGAGATTCCGAACACATAATCAAACAATCAATCCAATACATTAATCATAGAGTATCAATAGTTCAAGAAACATTTACAATGGAAAGCGATAATAACACATTCATAAAAAGGATACCGGCACACAAGGAGCCATTCGTTCGTTCGTTCGTTCATTCTCCTGTCATTCCCCTTATTCCTCCAATTATTTGAAAATGCATTTTGATAAGTAAAACCCTTCATTTCATTCATTGCCACTCGTTCATTCATTTCATTTCACCTCCTACCGGACGTTGGCCGGACTCCACCCGACAACAAGGTAATACTCGAGTATACGAAACGTTCACCCAGGGTCACTAAATCGCCCGACCGAATCCGCTTCTGGCTCGAGTCGATCAGTAACGAAGGGCAGGACCCAGTTCAGCCAATGGCTTACATTCATGCACATATAATCATTCAATCATTGAAAATTTCACATTCATTTAGGTCGAATGCGATAAAGTACACACTCGCCTAGAAAACTCGTTTTTAGCAATCATTGAAAGCATTTAACATTCAAACATTCAATCAAATATCCATAACATGGAACAAGGCATATAGTCAAGGGTAACATAACAACAAGGAACACTCACCTATTTAAGCAAAATAACGTCCAAAGTTTCCTTCCGAATAATACTCTCAATCACCAAGGAACCCTAATAATCAAACGAACACATTATGCTTCAACCATCAAAGATGTAAGTGAGTCAAAGACAAGTCGAATACGTACTAGTACAAAGTATAAATATGGTTTTGGTAGTGAAAAGAGTACATTGAAACCAAAGGACATAAGTAAAATATTTGTAAAACTTAGACTCACTTGTAAAACTTTAAAATCGCTATTTGAGTCGAAGTGGCAAAGAAAACGTAAATACCCTAGATGGTTCATGTGGTATTCACTCTCAAGCCTTACTCAAGTCGCAAGTATATCGACCTAGTTCTCGAGCGTAAATTTGGGCAGCACGCCCTTTGTATTTATCTATTTTCCAGCCATTTATGGTTTCATTCTTTTCCTCAATCAAACCCAAAGTCATATACAAAATCATCTCATTTCAATAGCCATTCCACAGGCTCCAAGTCATACAAGTACAAAATCAAGCTAGGAGCATGTGCGGAAATGAAGGTTGAGCCAAGAAACAAAAGACAGATTTGACGTTGTTTTGCGTAACGAACACAGCTGAAGTTACGCTTATCGGATTGGGGTGAAATTTATATCGTTTCGAAGCTAAGACAAAGGCCTACAACTTTGATGAAGACCACTCAGTTCAGTTTATAGTGTATCTAAGTCAAAATCTCAAATAACAGAACCAGAATCTCACATTCGGGCTTGATAACCGCCTTATACGTAAATGACAATAACTCTAGCTACCGAAGTCCAAACGAGGTGATTCTAGGGGCGTTGGAAAGCTAAGACATAGCAATACAAATTTTGTGTTTTGGCCAAAGGCTAATTTAGTACACATTAGGGTGAACAGACATGGTTAGTGTTGTAAAATATCAAAATTGTCCACTAGACTAAACCTATGAGAGTCAGGGGTATGTTTATCTTTTCATAGGCTACGTTGCTCCGATTGAGCTGAAATTTTGTAGAAAACTATAAAACATCATTATCTACAACTTTCATGTTTTATGCTAAGCCTAATTTGGCCTCTAACATCACGAACTGGAACCGGGCAGAACTGAAGCTTGAATTTCCAGAAATCTGGACTTTTGTTATAGTCAAGCTATAATTCACATTTTTACCTTAAAATTACCACTACTTTCTCCTTTATAAGATTATATACCATATATATACACCATATAACAGCTAACCCACAAGAAATATGAGTGA